ACCTCGGCCTCGCCCGCCGTACCGTCGGCCATCTTGACCTCGTCGTCGCCGCCCTCGCCGTAGGCGCTGCGCTGCGCCTTGAGCGTCTTTTCGCGGTCCGTCTCGAGGCGCTCGAGGCCCTTGCCACCGAAGCCGGACCCCGCCGCCTGCGCCTTGCCCGCCGCCAGCTTCTCCTTGAAGCTCTCCCCGAGCGCCTCGAGCTCCGGCGGGACGGCGGCCTTGCTCGCCTTGAGCGCCGAGATGATGTCCTTGGCGTACCGGTCCTGCTGCGGCGTAATGAACGTGATGCAGGTGCCCTTGTTGCCCGCACGGCCCGTCCTGCCGGCGCGGTGCACGTAGTCCTCGAGGTGGTTGGGCACGTCGTAGTTGATGACGAGCTTGAGCTGCTTGACGTCGAGGCCGCGGGCGGCGACCGACGTCGCCGTCACGATGGGCACGTTGCCCGCCTTGAAGTCCGAGATGGTCTCGTCGCGGTCCACCTGGTCCTTGCCGCCGTGGAGCGACATGGTGACGTAGCCCTTTTGGATGAGGTCCTTGAGCAGGTCGTCGGCAGCCTCCTGGCGCTCGACAAAGATGAGGGTGCGTGCGTCCTTGTCCTGGTTGTAGACGTCGCCGAGGATCTCGAGCAGGCGGTTGAACTTGGTGGCCTCGTCGCGCACCTCGACAATCTGCTCAATCTCGGCCGCCACGACGCTGCGGCCGCCGACGACAATCTCGAGGGGCTTGTTGCGCAGCACCTTGCGCGCCAGGCTCTCCATCTGCTTGGGGAACGTGGCCGAGAAGAGCACCGTCTGCCGGTCCGGGCGGATGTTGTTGACAATCTTCATGACCTGCGGCTCAAAGCCCATGTCAAACATGCGGTCGGCCTCGTCGAGGACGAGGTAGGTGACACGGCGCAGGTTGGTCACGCGGCCCGAGTTGGCGGTGAGCAGGTCAATCAGCCGGCCGGGCGTGGCGACGACAATCTCGGCCGTCTTCTTCATCTCGGCGATCTGCTCCGAGATGGGCGCGCCGCCGTAGACGCACGCGGCGCGCAGGCCGAGCGCCTTGAGGAACGGCTTGCTCTCGCGGTAGATCTGCACCGCCAGCTCGCGCGTCGGCGTCATTACGATGCCAATGGGGCCCTCGGACGACTCGACGGGGCGCTGGTCCTTGATGTGGCGGAACATGGGCAGCAGGAAGGCCATCGTCTTGCCGGAGCCGGTCTTGGCGACGCCGATGATGTCGCGGCCCGACATGATGGCCGGGATCGCCTGGCTCTGGATCGACGTCGGCGCCGTGTAGCCCAGCCGACGGATGACATCGAGGCAGCTGGCGGGCAGGCCGCAGTGCGACCACTTGGTGAGCGGCTTGGGACAGTCTTTGCCGCGCACCGAGATGGCGTCGAGCTCGATGCGGAGCAGCTCGGCCTGGTCCTCGGTCATCTCCTCGATTTCGGCGGGCGGGTGGTAAAAGACCTTGCGGAAGGGCTCGTAGTCCACCTTGGCGTGGTCGACGGTGGGCAGATCCTTTTTCTTGACCTTTTTGGCGGCGATGGCGATGAGGTCCTCGGCCGCCATGCCGACCTGATCCAGCTCGTCCCTTTCCGCCTCGCCCTCGGCGCCGTTCTCGCCGTCGCTCTCGTCGGCGCCCAGCACCTGCACCTGCGGCTTGCTCGTTCCGGGCTTGCCGAGGCGCTTGCGGTCCTCATCGTCGACCTGCTTGACCTCGGTCTTGACCGTGTTCATGAATGCGTCGAGCGGGTCCTCTTCTTCGTCGTCGTCGTCGCCGTCGACGTCCATGGCGTTGCTCGGCTTGACGAGGGCGGCGAGGGGATCCTGCTGCTGGTCGTCGTCGTCGTCGTCATCGCTGTCGCCGCCCTCGAGGTCGGAGCCGGTGCCGACCTTGCCGCCGGCGCCCGGCTTGAGTAGCGGGTCGACGGGCGGCAGCGTGAAGCGCTTGAGCTGAGGCTTGGCGGGCTGCTCTGCCGTGTCGTCCATGGCCGAGGCGGAGCCGAGCTTGCTCTTGTTGAAGTTGGGGCGGAGCGAGAGGCCGCGCAGGCCCTTTGCGTTGATCGTCGTGGGGCCGTCCGAGGCGCGGGGCGGCGTGGGTGCGGCGATGCCGGCGATGGACTGGGCGCGCGCCTTTGCCTCCTCGAGGGCCTTTTTGGCGGCCTGCTTCTTTCTCCACTCCTCGAGGCGGGCCTTTTTGGCTCGCTTGGCCTCTTCTGCCGCCGCATCGGCCGGGTCGCCCGACGTCGAGTGGGCGGAAGCGGAAGGCACTGGCGGAGGAGGTGGCGGTCCTGGTCTGAGGGATGACGAGGAGGCCGACGGTTGCAGCGCGGGAGGCGGCGGTGGCGGCGGGCCGACGGCTGGTCGATCTGGCAATGACGAGGTGAGGGCGGTCATGGGTCTTGGAGGCAGGCCGTAGGCAGGGCCGACGGGTGGCAGAATGGCGCTGCTGCCTTCGGGTGACCTGGAGCGTTTCCTCGACGGCATCGACGAGGGTGATGCATGGCCGTTGTGGAGCGGGCCTGGGGCAGCAGCAGGAGGGGGAGGGGGAGGGGGAGGGCCGGCGGAGTAGGGATGTTGCCCTCGCGAAGGTGCAGACGCGGGCTGATCCCAGCCTCTGGATGACCTGCTTGCGCCCTCGCCGGCGGGAGGGCCCTGATCCCAAGCGGCTCTGTATCTGGCAGTCGCTCTGCTGCTGTCGGCATCTCTGGGCGAGTCGCGATAGCGGTCATGGTCGCGTGGTCCGTCGCGGTGGTGGGTGTTCCTGTCGTGCTCCCTGTCGCGGTGGTGGTGAGGGTCACGGTGCCGGTCACGATCTCGGTCCCGGTCTCGGTCTCGGTCTCGGTCGCGATCCCTGTGGTGCCTTGGGGAGAGGTGCGGGGGAGGAGAGGGCGAGCGGCGGCGGCGTGTGGGTTCGTGATCGCGGGACCGGTAGGAGGCGGGGTCGTGCTTACTGCTGCGGTACGACGAGGGGCCCGAGGAGCGGTCCGGCGGCATGATGGCGGTGTAGGCTCGCGAAGTTGGCCTGGATGGTGGCGAGGTGGTAGCAAAGGAGCGGGGCAGGGTGACAAGTCGAGCTGAGCTGGGGTTGGGGCTGGGGGCTGGGGGCTTAGGCTGGGGCTGAGGCTGGGGCTGGCTGGGGCCCTCCGCTCCACCTGTACGGCCTCTTTGCCTGCCGCCCGCCGTTGTTGGTTTTTCTGGATTCTCGGCCATCGGACATCGATGGCTGCTCCCCCACCCGACGAATTGGATTTTTTTCAGCAGTAGTCGGCCAGCCCCAGCCAGCCAGGCTAGCGGCCCTGCCCCTGCCAGCGGCTTCGACCATGTTGGGCCCCCACGCCACCACTCCAACCACCACCCACCAACCAACCACACCGCCGCCGCCGCCGCCGCCGCCGCCGCCTGCACCGACTCGTCTGGCCTGCCCGCCCGCCCGCAATGCAGGGCAACGCTCACGCTTCCACCTCGGCGAGCGCCGTCGAGCAGCCCCCCACTGCCGCCGCCACCGCCTTTGGAAGCCAAGACTTCATCGCCTTTGACTTCAACGACGACGACGACGCTGCTGCTGCCAGCACCAGTACCGACCTACAGCAGCAGCAGCAGCAGCCATCGCAACCCACCACCCGCAAAGAACGCAATGCCAAGGGGCGCGCCAGCGACGTCGTCGCCTCGTCATCGCAGGCGGCCGGCAAGAAGCGCAAGATCGACGACCGCAGAGACGACGGCAAGACCAAGCAGGAGCGCATCCAGGAGAGAAAGGAGCTCCGCTCAAAGTACACGCCCTGGTCCGCCGACGTCGACTGGGACCGATGCCGCAACGGCGCAGAGATGCTCCACCGCGAGCTCATGGCCTTCGACATGTGGCTCGCACCCACCTACGCAGAGCACGAGACCCGCGTCATGGTCATCGACCTCATCCGCCGCGCCATAAAGGGCAGGTGGAGCGACGCAGAGGTCTACTCGTTCGGCTCACAGGAGACCAAGCTCTACCTGCCCCAGGGCGACATCGACCTCGTCGTCGTCAGCGACATGATGGACTACCAGGCCCGCGAGACGGTCCTCCGCGCCATGGCCTCCACCCTCCGCCAGCACAACCTCGCCACCCAGGTCCAGGTCATTGCCCGCGCAAAGGTCCCCATCGTCAAGTTCGTCTGCACCTATGCCAAGCTCCACGTCGACATCTCGGTCAACCAGACAAACGGGCTCTCGGCCGCAAAGTACGTAAACAGCTGGCTCAGAAAGACGCCCAGCATGCGGCCCCTCGTCATGGCCGTAAAGCACCTCCTCGTCCAGCGCGGCATGAGCGAGGTCTTTTCCGGCGGACTCGGCAGCTACAGCGTCATCCTCATGGTCATCAGCTTCCTCCAGCTCCATCCAAAGCTCCAGCGCGCCGAAATCGACCCGGCACGCAACCTCGGCGTCCTCTTCCTCGAGTTCCTCGAGCTCTACGGCAAAAACTTTGGCTACGACACCTGCGGCATCTCGATCCGCGGCAAGGGCGGCTACTTTAGCAAGGCCCGCCGCGGCTGGAGGGACGAGCGCAAGCCGTTTATGCTCTGCATCGAGGACCCGCACGACCCCTCCAACGACATCTCGCGCGGCTCCTACGGCATCCTCAACATCCGCGCCGTCTTTTCCGGCGCCTTCGACATCGTCACGGCCGCCATCTGCCACCGCGGACGCGGCGCCGCCGAGCGCGCGACGGCCAAGCAGCCCACCCACCGCAAGTTTGGCGACGGCGACGACGATGACGACGACGACTCGGAAAACGAGGACGCCGCCGCGCGCCGCGTGCTCCTCGAAGAGGCCCGCGGCGTCGTCCACAATCCGGACGACAAGGACCCAAAGAGCCTGCTCGGGTGCATTGTCGGCGTCTCCAAGGCCATGATGAAGCAGCGCAGCGACATGGAAGACCTCTACCACTCTGGCTCGCTCCAGAATCGCCTCGGACGCCCCCCGCCCCTGCCATCCCCGCCTCCCGCAGAGCGCTACATGCGGGCCGACGCGTCGGCATCGGCTTCGGCTTCGGCGCCAAAAGGGCCCAAGGGAAAGGCGGCGCAGCAGCAGCAGCAGCAGCAGCAGCAGCAGCAGCAGCAGCAGCAGGGCCCTTCGCCCAAGAAGATCAAGGGCCAGGCCCAGAGGTTGGCGGCGTCGGCGGCCTCGTCGCAGCGTCGCGGCAACGCCTCGGACCCCATCAGCATCTCGAGCTCGCCGGATCGCGACCTCGAGCCATCGACGACCCTCAGCATCCGCGGCGCTGCCAACAAGCAGCACCAGAACGGCCGCGCCAACGGCTCCGCGGCGGCGACGGCGGACGGCGCCTCGCGCTCCTCATCGCCCGACATTGTCGACGAGGCCGAGCTGGCGGCCAGCCAGGGCTTTTCTTTTTCGAGCGGCTCCAACCCGAGCCAGAGCCGGGGCGAGGCGCTGATGGGCCTCCCGCACGACTCGCCATCGCAGTCGGCAGTGCACGCCCACAGCAATGGGGTCATCGAGATCCTCTCGACGAGCGACGAGGAGGACTCGCGCTACAATGCCGCCCCGGCCAAGCGGAGAAAGACGGCGCACAACAGCAGCCCGCACGTCGCCGCCGGCAAAGGTCGCAACGGCGCGCGCGGCGCGCGGCGGGGCGACCCGGCCGCCGAGATGGAGGACCTGTCCATGACGGCGCCCAGCACCTTTGTCGACGACTCGTCCGACGACGCCGCTTCTGCCGCCGGCGGAGGCGTGGCCGGGGCCGGGCGCGGGGCGGC